GGGGCTGAGGGGAGGTGAGTTGAGGTGAGGGAGGGTTGTAGGAAGCTGAGATAAGAGGTAGCTGTAGGGAACCATGGGGGGCTGAGGAGAGGTGAACTGAGGTGAGGAAGCTGTAGGGAGCCATGGGGGGCTGAGAGGAGCAGGGATGTGGGGAGCTGAGGGGAGCGGGGCTGGGGGGTGGTGCATTCAGGTGAGGGGGGGCTGAAGGGAACTGAGGGAGGGGGCTGAGGTAAGGGGAGCTGTAGGGAGCCATGGGGAGCTGATATGGGGCTGAGGGGAGGTGAATTGAGTTGAGGAGAGCTGCGGGGAACATGGGGGGCTGCAGGGAGCTGTGGGAGGGGACTGTCACAAGCAGGGAGATGCAGCGGGTTGCAGGGGAGCACGAGTTTTTATGAGAGGCATGTTCGGCCCCCTTGGGCTGGGATGTGGCTGGGCTGGCCCCCAAGGCCATACGGTGAGGCCTGCTGGTAAGGGGTCCGAGCTCACTTGGGGTACAGGGTGTTTGCAGGGGCGCCCTGCAGCTGCAGATGGAGGCCGTGGGGTGAGGCAGGCTGTGGCGGGGAGGATGCCTGCAACCTGCCACCTTTGCAGGTGTCACGGCAGCCCCAGGCTGTGGCCTTTGCAAGATAGTGGCGGTTGTCAGCGTGACTATAAGTCTCCTCCTTGACTATCGCTCCCTTTTGGCCACACAGCTCTCAAAGCTGATTGTTCATATTCTTTCCGCTGTGTGACTTTTTGTGCTCTCTGGTGTCAACACTGGTTTACCCTGAAACTTAGAAGACGTGCAGGAAATTGTGGGTGGTGTTGACTCTGAATGTCAGTGCTGCTTTTAGGAAGGCAGTGTGTGTTGTAGGATGGGCTGATGTCTGTTTTGGGCCCTGGTGTAGGTTTGCTTCATAAATTAAGGTAAAGAGTTTGCATTCTCTTGATTTTCCTTTTTATTATGAGAAGGGATTAGTAATTCTGCAAAATGTTAAGTTACTGGTGCTGAGTACCAATGAAATCAGGTCTGTGTAAATAGAGAAAATCAGTGTCCTTTAATAACAGAGCAGAAATTGTCACTCCATTTTAAATTTCATCATAAAAAACCAAGAAGACGTCTATATCTTCATGACTGACTTCTGCAGAGGATCTGAATTTCATTCTGTGTATCCTGCTAGCATGTTTATTCTGAACACCATGTAGATATGAGCTTGTTTCTAATGGCTTTTACATATGTATGAGTTTGTCAGGTTGTTCTACCTATGCATGCCAGCTGTGGAGTGGCTCTGAAGATGTATGATAGGCTTGAATAAAGTGACACGCCTTAGATTCACCTTGATTTATGGAATGTAGCTGGTGTGGCAAAGCACAGGATTGTAAAAGAAGAAAAAAATTAATTCCAGGTGAGCATGATAAGACTTACAGCAGCTATTCACATGTTCTATGTCAAGTCCATGTCAAGGTCTTACTGTCTTTTTTTGGTTACACTAATTCAGCTTTGTAAATATGCATGACAGTTGATGTGGAGGAGGGAAGTGTCCTTTATGAATAACTTTATTGTATTTCCTTCAAAATATTTATTACACAGAGTGAATTAGAGGTCAAGGTCATATGTAACAGGTGTAACTTTTAGCTAATTTCATCAATTTAACAGCTGAAGTCTTGTTACAAACTTTATGCAGAGATACAGAAAAATTTTAGGCATCAAGGCTGTTTTGCTAACCTAGTTTGGCAACATACTTACACAGCTATTGAGTCCTAAAAGGTGTGAGTAATCTCTTGTTTACCCTTACCCGGGTGCTTTGAAACCTGTTCCTAGTATTCACCTATTCATGAGCTCAGCCTAACATAACGTGTCCAGTTTGACACATCATAAAGGCAGCATACTGTACCTACTCTGGACTTTGAACTGGGCTAGCCAGCGTGCTCTTGGGTCCATTCACAGTGTATGCCTACAAGAAATTGGTGAGTTTTGTGTATACTTACATTAAGAGAAGTAAAACTAGGAACTATCAAGATGTTTGCCTTTTCTCACCTTAATCTCTCTCCATATTGTATTTCACCCCACATTTGTCTGTACAGACTGCAGGTCTAAGCACTAAACAGTACTAAACCTTGCCAGAAACTGTACAGATTTACTGCTGTAGTAGAACTGAGCATTTGCCGCTTGAGAACCATTGCACACATTTGGTTTTGTCAGTGGAATTCAGTGAATGAGAGGAAGTAAAGGGTAGGCAACCTCAAAATACTTGCAGTGTTTCGCTAGGTTTAGTAAAACACTTTATTTCTAGATGGGAAACTGTACCCTCGTCTTGGCAGTGTTGTAGAGAGGAAGCAGCTCCTTATTTATTCAGACAAAATGCACATGAATAGTTCAGATACTGAAGTACTTTCTTAAGAAAAAGCAGGGCATTTTCATTACTTAGAGTTAAAATAACTGAATATTAAAAGATAAATAATTTTCTGTATTTTTCTTTTTTTTTTTCAGTTTTATCCATGTGACAGAGATCTCTGTGATCATTTTTGCTGAGTAGTTTTTTAATGTCATTTACTGTCTTTTGATGCATCTTTATGTAGTTAAGCTGAAAAAAAAAATAGGAAGAAGTTTCCTAAAACCATAAAAGGGCTAGGTGACTAACAGCTGTTAAACTGTATTAGACTTTAAGCTTTTAGTGCCCATTTAATCTGAGGAATAGGTTGTATAAGAGACTACAAACAAAAACAGATTCTTAACCAAGTTGTTTCTCAAACTGTCTGCGGAACAATATCCCTAAGGCTGCCTGTCAGGGTGATAGAGAGTATCTGTTTTGGTTACTAGACCCTCCACTGTAAACAAGTGTGAAGCCGAATTGCTGGGCTTTTTAAGGGTGCTTAATTTCAGAGGTAAACAAAGATGCTGAAATGGTGCTGGATTTTAAATGCAAACAAAAATATTTTCGTTGGAGCAGTTGCACGAATAAAAAAAACAGAATTTCTGAGGCTCTCAGGTATTCTAATGGAGTTTCCAACCATGGAGTTCGAGACCAAACCTGTTTAACTAAGTTTTTTACAAAAGGAACTGGAAGACCACAAATAAAGGGCTTTGAAACGTCTAAATCAGGAATAATTGTTTAGGCCCTGCAGCAGGCAAAGTAAGTTTTCAAGTGTCTGTTGACAATGACTGCTCCTGGAATTTTTAATAACTAAGAGCTGTTGATAACATGAGAATTGAGTGTCCTGTGTAAAATAATTTTCTATTGTTTGTCTAGTTTCCAGTGGAGAAGTGTGTCTTACGCAGAGTCGAATTTACTAAGTGTTGGTTTTAAATATACCTTTTATGCAGTCAGTAGCAAAGCAACATCTGGGTGAAGTTGAACAACCATCATCAAAGTGGGATCCTGAATCCATAAGCCAGCCCTTCAAGACTGCAGAACCCAGGTCAGTGTTAGCTGAGCAACAAATGGATTTCTGGAGGCCTGCTCCAAGGATGTGCTGACTCTTGTGTGCGATGGTGTGATGATCAAAGTCTTCTGCCAAACCACTGTCTTCTGAAATGGTTTTTCTGTGTGCTTTGTTTCCCTTACTCTGTCTTAAATAGAATACAGAAGCTGCTATAGCTGCGCATGTCAGCAGTTGGTATGAAGCTGAGCTGAAGCCTGTGTTTCAGAAGATGAACTAACTAAATATGCGGACAGACAATACAGATGAAATTCTCAGCACACCTGTGCAACTTTCTGTCCTTCAAAAGGCATCACCCCATAGCAGCGTGGTTCCAGTGATCTTCCTGGGTGTCCAAAGATGACCATCCAAAGACTGGACCATACTGAGCAGTCTTGTTCCTCCTTCATATCAAATTATTCCCATTTTGAAACCTTGTGCAGAGCCGCAGATGCTCAGTCCTCTAAAGTGCCATTTTTTCCCAGTCTGTTCCTATTATGAAGGTCTGTGAGTGTTAAATGGCTGTAGGAATAACTGGGTAGAGGAACTTGAGTCTCTCACTGCAGTGAGCACAGAGCCTAAACAGAAAGTACCTGACGTGGAGACTTCCTGAAAGATCTGAACGCGGGATAAAGGTCTTTTCCTCATGTTTAGTGCAAGATGGGTGGTGAATAAAGCACTGCTGTTTATGAACTCTGAAGAGAGGAGGCGCTGCTAACCATGTAAGTAAAAACTGAGGCTGGAAAATGTGCAAGTAAGTTTGTTTGCAGTCGATTTCATCCAGGTATTTAGGGCAGTCAGGAGTAGAAACAAAGTGGTATGATTTTATTACAGGTCCCATGTAATATGTCTGTAAACCATAAACAGTCTTTCTTCCAGAGCCCACAGTGTAGTTCTGATAATGTACTTTGAACTTCATATTGCAAAGTTTTGGAAATGTTTGAGCTTTACAAGGAAAACAAGTTATTTTTGGAAAACTAGCATCCTGAATGGCCAGAAACATCCTGATTTTTTTCAGTGAGTGCTCTTAAGTGCAAATGAAGGGCGAGCCCCTGTGGGGTGCTAAGATGGCTCAGTTTGTACTGACATAAACTTGTTTACCATCATTCAGTTTCAGGTTCAGCTGTTTCTAAGAACTCTGAGTGTTTTGTTTTAACTATTCATTTTTCTTGTTTCTCTTAATGGCTGGAAAAAGATACTTGAAAGCAACGAACTGAAGGACCTCAATTTGTTTAGGTTATGAAGAAAGCTTTACAGACTCTTTTCTTAAAATGTGCAAGTATTTTCACAGAGAAAAAATAAAACTGAAGGAGTCTTTTAATTAAAGCACTAAAATCATAGCAATAACCAACTGGAAATGACCTC